TAAAGTTATTGTCAAGTGAAGTTTTGCACGTTTCCGCCTTACAACATAGCGTGAGTTATGCAATCAAAGAACTTGTCGCAACAGTTTTCGTTAAAGAAAGCGTCCTATCCTTAGTTTATTTCTGTACATGAAATGTACAAGAGTATATTAGGTTTCTGCGAGCTGAAAAATGAAACAGGCAGGAGGCGTGGCAGACCCCACAAAGTATATATATTCTTGATCAGCATGACAAGGCGAGTCGATCTAGCCCTGTCTGTCCGCCGTATGAGCACCTGGATCTCAGAGACTTTAACAGCTAGAGACACCAAATTTTGCACAAAGATGTCTTATATGTGTACGCTGTGCAGATGCTTTTAATGTTCCCCCCACTTCCCTTGCATGGTGGATTTTTGTTCGTATAATCATCTATATCTCAGAAAGACCTCGGAGTATCGCTAAGCTATCTGACATACCCAAGTTTATGGAACAGTTAGTAACTTCTCAGCTGCAACATCTTTGCAATTCGATAATCGCCTCATCTCAGAATGGTTTTGTACCCCATAGATCAACGTCTATCAACATAATTGAGTTCACATCCCTCATACGCATTTGACTCAGTTAATCACGCTCTTCTGTTCTATAAACTCTCACTCGTTGGCTTCCCCCCGTATTTAGTAAACTAGATCTCTTCTTATTTATGTAAAAGAACTCAAAGCGTATTATATTAAAATGCACTGGCAAAAGCCGTTAATGTCACCTCTGGCGTGCCACAAGGTAGTCACCTTGGGCCGTTGTTGTTTGTCCTTTTTATACATGACCTGCCGCAGGTTCCTATTCAAATATCCTAATTTATGCCGATGACGTAATAATTTTTCATGTCGTACTCTGATCTACAAGTATTATCACATCTGAATCTTCTGACCTAAATGAATTGCATTTGTGGTGTTCTAATAACCTTCTGTCGCTTAACCTTTCGAAATGCAGCTATATGATCTTCCACCGCCAGGCTGCCCAATTTTGTTTCCTATACTCCTGGGTATTCTACTTTAAATAGAATAACCACAGTTAACGATTTTGGTGAACTTTTTATACCCTGTACCCAAAGGGTACAAGGGTATATTAGTTTTGTGCGAGTGCACATGGAACACACAGAAGGAGGCTTGGTAGACCCCACAAAGTATATATATTCTTGATCAGCATGACAAGCCGAGTCGATATAGCCATGTCCGTCTGTCTGTCTGTATGAACGCAAGGATCTCCGAAAGTATAAGAGCTAGAATAACCAAACTTGGTACACAGATTCTCCTGAGACCGAGAAAGGACGAGTTTGTTCATTTTTTCTTATCCTCCTCCCCACTCCCCCCTATTAACGATTTTCTATAACTCCCGTAATTCTTGGAATTTTGAACTAAAATTTAGTAGTCACATTAGGTTATTGATTATATATACCGTATACCAAGTTTCATTATGATAGAATGATCGGAAAGAAAGTTATAGCCATATAACCAGGCCCAATGCACACATACATACATATGTACAAGTACACAAACACGCATAAGGCACGATTCTGATGTAAATGTAAATGTATGTATGCATGCATGGAATATTTCATATTTAATTTAGTTAATTTATTAACTAAATTAATTAAATTAAATTAATTAATTAATTTAATTACTTTTTTGTGGGGTGGTACAGGGTATTTAAGAGTTGAGCCTGCTCGACTTTAGCATTCCTTTCTTGTTGATAATAAATTATGCTTTAACATCCATATTTCAGTTATTGTCACGAAGGCAAGAGGACTTCTAGCTTTTATAAAACGTTAGTCGAAAGAGTTTGACGATCCGTGCACTTTGAAATCATTGCACATATCTTTGGTTCGCCCTATCTTGGAATATTGCTCTGGCGTATGGAGTCCATAATACAATGAACAACAAATGTTAATTGAATCTGTCCGAAAACAATTCTTACAGTTTGCTCTTCGGAGTCTAAATTGGGACCCGCACAGCCGCTTGCCTCCTTATTGATCCAGATTAAAACTAATAGACCTACCATCCTTACACCACCGTAGAATTTGTTCAGGAGTTAGCCTCCTTCACAAACTTCTTTCTCGTGATATAGACTTCCCTTTTCTTCTTAGCCTCGTAGACTTGGCAGTTCCATTAAGATTTACTCATGCATTTCGTACCCTTTGATTGCTTATTTGTAGACCTAACTTTGCTGCTCATGAATCACTTTGAGTGTTGTGTTCTAATTACAAACATTTTTCACACAACATAGCCTTCGAACACTCCATTAGACTATTTCATCATTAAAATACTTGCAACTTGATTCTAACTAGAGACTGTCCTATCTTACTCTACTACTTGTTTCACTTGTTGAACTTTATTTTAAGCTATACTATTTAATATATTGTATTCTTTTGTATACTTATGTTTTCTTTTCTTCTTCCTATTATTATTATTTTTTTTATTTTACATTTCTTTTTCTTGTAAAGTTAGCAGTTCTTTGTTAAATATTAATAAATAAATAATTTTTGCGAAATTTGATTAGCACACCTTCATGTAAATATTGAATAACATAAGAAAAGGGACACTACAGACCCCCAAATTATATTTTTCTGTAAAATATTGTATTTTCTTAACTTAATTAAAAAGAACTAATAATGTATTGAAGCACCACGGCTTACTATGACCTCTTACACCCAGTTGGTTAAGGAGTCATATAATTTAGTGAAATGGTCCTTCAATTAGTTCCGATTCAGTTGGGTGGTATTGCTTTCCCGATTCGTATACTTTGAGAGCTAACTCCCCAAACATTTTTATAATGGCGCGTTTTGACGCTCAATTCAAGACTTTACGACTCATGCAGCATATATAGGTACGTTACGTTATCATGCTGTGGCATTCATACGGATTTATTCAAAAAATTGCAATTTTATGGTTCCATAGTATGTTATTCCTCCCCATACCATTACACCACCGGCACGGTTTTGCAGTACAACTAAATTATGCTCTTTTCTTAGATCATCATCAAAAAAAAAATGTGATCGATTTTACCTCTTTTGGTATTCGAACTCACGTAAAGGGTGTATAATTGCACATATACAAAGCAATTGCGTCTATGTGAGTGTATGAATGTTTATGCGCGTCTATTTGTGTCTGTGTAAGCATTTTCGCAGTCAACCAAACAGCAACATCAACAACAGCCGAGGGCAGCGCTTGAGCAGCGCTGCAGCAGCAAATATATTTATGGCTATAACTTCTTGTTAAATCGGTCTATCATAGTGAAACTTGGCATACGGACACATAATAACTAACTAAAGGCATTTGCAAAATTGCGTTCGAAATTCCAAGAATTACGGGAGTTGGAGAAAATCGCGATATGCGGGGGAGAGGGGAGAGGGAGGGAAATTCCAAAATACACATTTTCTGCGTATTCTCATAAGGCATCTGGGACTAAAATTTTGTGTCCCTAGGTCTTATAGTCTCTTAGATATAGGAGATTATACGAATGGAAAATCGGGAAAACCCCCATAGGGGGGAAGTGGGGGGGGGGGGGGAAATCAAAAAAATAAAACAAACTCGTATAGCGTACACACATAAGGCATCTTTGTGCAAAATTTGGTGTCTCTAGCTCTTATAGTCTCTGAGATCTAGGTGATCATACGGACGGACGGACGGACGGACAGACAGACAGGGCTAGATCGACTCGTCTCGTCATGCTGATCAAGAATATATATACTTTGTAGGGTCTGCCACGCCTCCTTCTGCCTGTTACATTTTTCAGCTCGCGCAAACCTAATATACTCTTGTACATTTCATGTACAGAGTATTAATATTAGTTATAGTGGTCATGTTCGTTTAACGAAATAGTTTGGCAAGAACAAAAATGTAACGGACTACTGAACAATTTTTTGTCAAGAACAGAAAATGTTCATTTAAATACATTAAATGCCTTCCTACTGGTAACTTATAAGGTGAAAACATATGGGTAGGTTATGCGCACACAAAATAAATACAATTGGAAACATTATATTGAGCCGGGTTAAGACGGACAATACCTGCTAGTACATACATATGTGTGTACATATGCATGCATGTTTCTCTTTACTTTTTCATACATAGACACGAACTGTTGCTTGTTCTGTGTGTGAGTGATATTTGATATTTGCGTTCTTTGTAATTTGTTGTTGCTGCATAAAGTTACTAATGAAAACCGTAATGCCAAATGTACTAAACAAAGAAAAAATTACTTTTAAAACTGTTAAATAATTTTTAATTAATTAACATTTCTTGCTCTGTCAGTGCAAGACGAATGAACATACATACATAGATGTGTACATGTACATAGATGTGTACATGTACATAGATGTGTACATGTACATAGATGTGTACATATGTATGTATGTGTGTACATTCACACATTAGTGTCTCACATTTTGCTTTGGCTATTTCAATCGTTTGCACGCAACTACACGAACAGCTGCTTATATATGTGTGTGTGTGTATGTGTGTATGGATATTTAGTTGTCCCCAACTGTTTGATATTTTGTATTGTTTGTTCTGCCTGCATTTGTAGAATGCATATTTTGAAAATCCTTGAACGCAAAGTTATAGATTTAGTTACGTAGATTACAGATGCAGTAGATGCAGTTTTGTTTGTATTCTTTTATAGATTATAAAAATCAAATTTAAAGTTGTTCGGTGCAGAAATTCAGAATTTTCAAACAAACTTTGGAGCTCGTTTTCTCCCCTTTGGAGCTTGAATTTTCCAAAATCTCTTCTTAGTAGGCACCTTCACTATGATAGGATCCTTGAGCCCAAATTTCAGCTTCATAGCTCTTGCCGTTTGGGCTGTGGGCTGTTCTTGTTTTTCTTTAATTTTGGCGGATGAGTCGTGTGAATTGGACGCAAGCCTCAATAGAATTTTTTCATATTTTTTATATAGGTAATATATGCATATCTTCCTAAGCCCTGTCATGGTGACGAGGATCTTAAAATGTTATAGCGATAAGCCCTCTGTTTACATATAAGTATACCTTTTATTTTTTTCATGTATGTACAATATTTTTTTTATTTAGTAGACATAAATAGTCTTCAGCTGAGACTTTAATTCTGGTGGTATCACTGGTTCGGGGTCCGGTTTTTTATTTACTAAACGCTTGAACCGTCCACTAAACTGCTTTCGAAATCCTTTGAAACCGTTTCTGTCACTTGACGCCATTAGTAGATCCTGAAATAAAAATATTTTGAGATAATTTATAAGAGTGAAATAAAGAATTTTTGATATAGGGTTTTTATATTTTCATCACCTGATGAAACTTTGGCCTCTACAAATTATTTTTTTAAAAGTTCAGGCAGTCTTTGTCTGTCGACTAATAGTTTCGTATTCTATCTTCGCAAACAATCTCAACCTGAATAATAGGCCCCGCTACGTTTTAACAATGTGTATGAAATTATAATAATTATATTCTAGAGGTACCGTCTTGCTCGGCCCCGTCAACATCATTACGCCCAAGTTCTCCAGTGGATCTTGATTTATCGCCAGCAACCTCGTTGTCTGCTTCCCTGGAAATTTGTTTGAAATTTCCCCTGTGCCTTCTCCTGCTCATGTCACCTTAGCCCCGTTGATAGAACCTCCTGCTGTAAGCAAGACAGTAGTGGCCTCGAAAGCTTCTAAGAAAGCTTCCTCTATAAAATTTTCTGCAATATCCCCCGCAGTCTCATCACGAGCTGCAGAAAGTGCGTTAGTTGCTGCTCTGTCTCAGCGCCCGTCTCTTACTGTTATAATTCCCAGAAGACAAGTTTTTGTATTAAGATTATCTTCGGATACCACTTGTTAATCTATAGCAGCCTATATTGCCAGTAAATCGACGGCCAGTGTATCTATTTCGAAATAGCGCTATTTCGTGAAATAGCGCTGTTTCAAATAAGTGTTCCGTCTGAGGCTTTTACAATTATACAAGGTGTGTTCCAAAGTAAACAGGACTTTTTGAATCTAGCGCCCCCTGGTGGCACTATCTATATGTCGACTGGTGCGTTAGAATCTGCTATCTTTATCGATTGTCCAGTGAGAATTTCATGACATTTCATCGATTGGAAGTGAAGCTATTGCGTTTTAAGTGTCAGTACGTTTGTGTTATCGGTGCGAAAATGAGCTTCGGACAAAGAGCCAACATTAAATTTTGTTTTAAAATTGGTAAAACTTTTACCGAAACGTTTCAATTGATGGAACAAGTTTATGGCGATGATTGCCTATCCCATAGAAGATAGCACGAGTGGTTTCAACGTTTGCAAAGTGGTCGTGAGGACATAAATGACGATCAACAAGTGGGCCAATCAAAATTCGTGATCACCGAAAATTCCCCCGAAACTGTGCGTGAATTCATCAAAAATCAGCAGAAATCATCATTAAAATTGATGGAAATGGAATTGAACATCTCCAAAACATCGATTTATCGCATTTCGACCGAACATTTGGGCTTACGAAAGGTGTGCACGGTTTGTTCCGCACAAATTGACTGACGAAAATTGATCAGAATCCAACCGATTGTGACCGATTATTTGACCAAAAACCACACTTTAACCATTAACCACTCGCCGTATTCACTTGATATGGCACCGTGCGACTTCTACCTTTTCGGAAAAATGCATTTGCTCATGAAAGGAAAGCGTTATGCAGACGTAGAGGCCATTCAAAAGACTTGCACCGGCATACTGGTGGCCATACCGGCCAACGAGCTAAAACACTCGTTCGACATGCTTTTGGATTGTGCAAAAAGCTGTATTGGAGCAGAAGGAGACTATTTTGAATAAAATAAATTGATTTTGCCGAAAAAACCATTTGTTCTGTTTTTTTGAAAAAGTCCTGTTTACTTTGGAACACACCTTGTATCTTCTTAGGCGACGAGTGGATCTAGCAGTCAGTGGCAGTCTGTGACGAGACATCGTTGCCAAAACGGCCGTGTCGTCGGCATACGCGGCAGCCTGTAGTCTTCCATCTGATATGATAGGCATGTTAGCGGTATAAAGGAACTCCGGCTCTGATATCTAGCGGAGTAAAGGACATAGCTACTAACAATAACATGAGCTGTAGGCAAATAAAGGCGGAATTAGATCTGACTATGACTAGACAAGGTGTGTAGCAAATAATGAAGCACCACCTTCTTGAGATAACGAGGCCGACAGGACAGTGGTGGAGATGGATGTAGATGCCTTTGAGGTTTCTACAGATTAATCTCTACCACTGCAAAGCAGCAGCAGCTGCCCTACTACATTGTCTTAGCAAAGACGATGTCGACGCAGTCCACATTGAGGAACCTTGGGTTTGCAGAGGCAAAGTTTCTGGATTGAGGATGAATGAGTACAATCTGATCACAGCAAACAGCACAGGCAAGACCCGAACCTGCATTTTATTCAAGAAAAACATAAATATTTTCTTACTATCCAATTTTAGCGACGGCGACAACATAAAGGCGTGCTTAGAGGCTAAGCCAAAGCCTATAAGAAAATGCTCCGCCTACATGGCTTACGAGATAGCTCATAGAGGACAGCAGGCAGAGAAATATAGATCTGCTCATAGGACGCGACGCCAACGCTCATCACACTCAGTGGGGCAGCACTGACACTAACTTACGGGGTGAGTCCATTTTTAACTACCTCCTAACTACTAACATACTGACTACTAACATACTGCTTTGTAATGATGGCTCAGATCCAACTTTTGTGATTAGGAATCGAAGCCAGGTTCTTGATCTCACTTAGCGTCAAACACACCCTATAACCGCATTTCCAAGTGGACAAGCAGAGCCTGTCAGAGTACAAGAAAATACTCAGACAGGCGAAACGATCCTCTTGGCAAAACTTCTGCTCCGATATCGAGAACACCTCCGACGCCGCAAGGTTAAGGAAAGTTCTCCCAAAAACTCTCCCCACGTCGGGATACCTTCAGAAGCCAGACAAGACTTGGACAACCTCAAGTGAGAAGTCACTTAAGCTGCTTCTAGGTACCCACTTTCCCAGCTCCACAAGCACAAGGCTGACCAGCAACGCGCCAAGCGTTAGTCCACTTCACGCTCTGACTGATCTATTATCAGAAAATAATATCCATAATAATAGCCACGCATACCACCTCTCTCGGGTTTCAAAGTAAAGACGTTCGAGAGACTTTTAGGCCTCCATTTAAGAAGCATGATCCCGCTCTCAGAGCTTTCAAGCTCCCAACATACCTACTGTAAAGGCAGGTCTACAGAAACGGCACTCCACGCCGTTACTTCGAGTATTGAAAAGGCCCTCAATACCAAACTTTATGCCTTTACCGCCTTCTTAAACAAACGCCACCACAAGATCACTTACAAACCTGGGTGTGGACGACTCCATTGTGGAACTTGTAAGACAGCTTCTCACCAGGCGGTCTATCAAATCCACACTGGGGCTGTCCACGGTATCCAGATATGTAAGTAGCGGAACGCCTCAGGGCGGCGTTCTCTCATGGAACGAGGAAGTCAACACACTCCTACGATCCTTGGATGGGATAGATGCCGTGCGGTGGCTTATGCGAATGGCGTGTGACCATCTCCTTCTCGGGTAAATTCCATTAAACTGTGCGAACGCATGACCGATGTACTAAGCATACTGTCTACTTGGGCGGCGTCAAGTGGCCTAAGTATAAGCCCCAGCAAAACAGAGCTGATACTATTCCACCTCTTCGTCCCCAATTACCAAATGGGATACCATTTTCCTTCAGCAGCTCAGCCAAATATACTAGGAAGCTGGACTGGGCCCTGAATATCGAGGACAGAGAGAGGAAAGACACAATCTCACTCTACACCTGCAGGAAATCCATTGGACTGAAATGGGGCATGGCCCCCTACGTGGTCATTGGCTATATACTGCAATAATCAGACCCATACTCTTATATGGAGTCTCTATATGGTGGCCATCACTGACAAAAAAACTCGTCTTTTCAGAGACTAAATAAAGTTCAACGACAGGCTGAACTAACGATTTCGGGTGCACTTCGCACCCCTCCCAGCGACGCACTTTATGCGATTCTGGGAATACTCCCAATACATCTCATGGGGAAAATGAGCGTCACGCTGGCGGCCCTTCGCATGAGAGTAACCAACCAATGGTCAGAAGAATGTTTTCGTCACGCCAAAATCCTGAGAGGAAACAACATAATCCGTCACTGACTATTGCTACCCAAAGGATTACCTCCATACTAGTGATGTAAATCTGAAATGAACATCGACGTTTTACATCGGAAACAAAAATCGCCATGTCAAGCATCGATGCAGCGAAAAACTTAACATCGATCCATAAATTTTTAATAATAATTTCTAATGTAAAACAAGAAATGAAAGAAAACGACGAGCGGGATCAATTCTCCTGTGCATATTATATTGTGAAACTATTGTGCCCTCTGGTTACGGGGTATAAAAAGAAGCTAGGAGCGTATATTTGCATTAATTTTAAAATTTTAAATTAAAAATATGTGTCATATTAATAAGTCTAATATTTAAAATGCATAATGTTAAGGGACTGCTAAGACACCATTCCAAAGTAAGGTGTTATTCCCAACATGTATTCACATCATGTAAAATACGTACGTACATACATATACGCACATGTTTATTCCCATTAGTTTTAACAATGCACACATTTTAAATTTCAGTCAGTCTTCAGCCTTGATGGTTCCGGCGTGATTCGAACCAAAACCCTACTAACAAACAAACATTGTGGGATTCCTGCTAGCTCGTTAAGTATATGCTAGGCTCCGAATTTACGATTGAAATGAGAATAACAACTTGCTTTAGCATGGTTTCTTAGTAGTTCTTTAGCACTTTTTTTGATACAAGCATATCACAGTTTTTATACTCTGTACATGAAATGTACAGAAGTATATTAGGTTTGCGGGAGCTGAAAAATGTAACAGCATGACGAGACGAGTCGATCTAGCCCTGTCTGTCTGTTTGTTTTATTTTTTTGATTTCCCCCCCACTTCCCCCCTATGGGGGTTTTCCCGATTTTCCATTCGTATAATCGCCTATATCTCGTAGACTATAAGACCTAGGAACACCAAATTTTAGTCCCAGATGCCTTGTGTGAATACGCAGAAAATGTGTATTTTGGAATTTCCCTTCAACGCCCCTCTCCCATGCAAATAACGATTTTCTCTAACTCCCGTAATTCTTGGAATTTCGAACTAAACTAAACCAGTTAGTTATTATG